AACACAATTGTAAGCCAGCCAGTTATTTACTGTGAATAAATATTTTGTTTATTTGTTCACTTTTTTTTCCGTCCAAGATTGATTTGTTCTCATATTAATTGTCCAGAGTCTGCTTTTCACTTTTCAACAGCCAGTTAAAGGGCAACACAACTGTAAGCCAGCCAGTTATTTACTGTGAATAAATATTTTGTTTATTTGTTCACTTTTTTTCCGTCCAAGATTGATTTGTTCTCATATTAATTGTCCAGAGTCTGCTTTTCACTTTTGAGACTGTGTAACATTTCCGCTGAATCATCAATGAACCTGATTACCACATCGTTAGGTCTAGCATTGCCGTGGGGAGCATTTTCTCGAGTGGTCAGGCTATTGCTACATCTATACAATGTAACACACGACGCGGGAAAAGCACATTACCGGTATGCCATTCCTAGTTGGGTCTGAGGGCATGCCCCCAGAAAATGTTTATCAAATATAATAATTAAAAAATGTTTGCTATTCTGCTCTGTTGAACTAACAAATAGGTTGAGAAAGCATTAAGGCCATTGTAAAACATAAATGAACGAATGACGTTTACGTGTATTGTCTTTTTTTTTGACCGGTTATGGTTGTCGTATAACCTATTTATGTAATCTAGTTGAGTTTTTTTGTTTTTTTTGTCGGTGGTCAGGGGCCCCTTCAGAGGCTGGGGTTCTTTAAGAGTGCGCATTGGTTAGTCTGGGCCTGTTTTCAAGTGTTCTGGAGCTTTACAAAATGAGATCGATGAACCGAGATTTTAATTTTGCGACATAAATTCGTCTCTGTTTTTGTTATACGTTTTGATATTCTCTAAAGAAGCATCTTTGTCATTCTTTGATAATCAATCTTGGTATGAGCGGTCGTGTAATTATGAAAATGTAGTCACTCTCAAGCCCCTTACGTAGTACATGGTTGGATGTTGCTATCTTTAGAAAGTAAGTCATTGACCTAAGCCGCGAAGCTTAGATTTGCTCTACTTTTATAAAACTTTGCTAGCTGATTTAATGCTTGCTTGGTTTGGATTTCATGCAAAGCTACACGAGGGCTGTCTGCGCTGGCCGTCCCTAATTTAGCAGTGTAAGACTAGAGGGAAGGCAGCTAGTCATCACCACCCACCGCCAACTCTTGGGCTACTCTTTTACCAACGAATAGTGGGATTGATCGTCACATTATAACCCCCACGGCTGAAAGGGGCGAGCATGTTTATTTGAGGCGGGGATTCGAACCCGCGACCCACAGATTGCGAGTCGAGCGCCTTAACCACCGGGCCTGTGATCTAATGCCAAATATTTTATTCTTATTGGTGGAATTGGCTCTGAATTTTCCAACAATGGTGGAGAAACTTATTTGTTTTTATGCACTGAATAAAACAAAATAGACACAGTAAAAGAGTTTGTTAGAGCACACAAAAAAACTACCACAGAATGAATAGTAAAGATTTTGTCTAATTTATATATCTGTTATGTTAAAGGTGAATATTTATTTACGAGATACTTTGTCTGTCGTTTTTTTATTATGCATAAAAATGTAAACACTTAATAAAAAATACATTCTTACATAAAAAAGTAACTTGTAGTCTTAGACAAAATAGAGTACGTCGTTATTATTTCCGAAAACTCCCCGTTTACAGTGTTGAGGAAGGTACATGGAGCTGTAATAATCTAGACTTAAAGTAAACTAAGATTGGTACTTTACGTAATGTGACTATCTAATCATGTTAAATATTAGAGAAGGTATATTATACAGCGAATTTCTAGACAAGGCCGTAGAAAGTGGTAATGCCAGTCAGGCCATGGTCTGACCACTTTTTCATGGCAGTTATAGCAACAACTTATGTATTAAAACTTGCTTCTTTTAATTCCATACATTACGTTGCGTGTATGCAGTATTTGTAGTTAAAATGGCTTAAGATTCAATCTCATAGGAATAAATTTTCTGTGTTTTTTTGGCCCCACCCCCACTAAAATTTCAGAAGAAAATTTATTTGACTAATTCATTTAAAAATAATGTTAAAAAATGATAGTATTTAGATATAAATGACGAAGTTAGATGTACATAAATAAGCCATGATCAGCCAGGGTATCGCATTCAAACTTGAAGGCAATGACCCCCCCCCCTTCCCACCAGGAATAAATTCTGGGGATACCTCATGAACTAGAGTTATGTAGTTTCAATAGTGAGATTGTTCCTAAAATTATATAGATTTTTAAAAAGCAACTCATTTCAATTTCTGTAAAATTTACAGACATCATACACGTGTTTTACTTGAATTTTAGGATTCAATTAACCGTTTGGTTAGTAACATGGCAAGGTTAAGTATCTGCATTAGGTAAACTTATTTTCTTCTGACGAAAATACATTTTAGTTCAGCGCCTTATAATATTTTATTTGAAATTTAGGCTTAGCTTATTTTTTCCCCATATCACAACTTTGTTACTTCAAACAACCAAGACCCATAAAAACCATAAGTTTTAATTTACAGTTTAGTTATTTTCTAAAATATATATATATATATTAGGTAATAGTTAGAATGTATTTTACAGCCTATAAACCCGACACTCTTAGTTCGATTTGTGATTTTTTAAAATTATTTATATTATTATTTTTCAAGTAGAGTCGGATTAAAGAATTTTGGGGTCCTGTGCACTATGGAAAATTTGCCTCTCCTACCTTGAGTTAAACAGAGTATTTGATGTATACAGCTTGTAAATATCAGAACGGCTTCCTATATTGTTATTAGTTATCACAAATTTAAATCTGTTTTGGCAGAAAACACATAAGCATCAAAGATTTTATATTCTTACTTTAACAATTTAATCAAGTAGTGAACACGTCAAAATAATCTTTTCATCCATTTCAGTAATTTATGTGTATAAAAATGAAGCTGGCGTTAACGAGCTGACATTTACTTCAATTAGCGTATATTGATCAAGTAGTGAACACGTCAAAATAATTTTTTCATCCATTTCAGTAATTTATGTACATAAAAATGAAGCTGGCGTTAACGAGCTGACATTTACTTCAATTAGCGTATATTGATCAAGTAGTGAACACGTCAAAATAATTTTTTCATCCATTTCAGTAATTTATGTACATAAAAATGAAGCTGGCGTTAACGAGCTGACATTTACTTCAATTAGCGTATATTGATCAAG